TACCTCCTCGTGGTGCACCCTGGGCAACGTATATTCATACGGCGAAAAAGTCTATTAACCGGCAGTTGACTTCTGACTTCAAACTACCACGACCCCCCTGGTTGTCATATTCGACCCCTACCACAGTACTCACCTTACCTTTTCCTCTACCTTTGTGTCTGTCTGCCTCTTTTACATCTGTGAATCGCTCTTCTGTTCCCCACCCCTCGACTTTCTGCTACTTTGATGAACCTTCCCCTCTGTGAAGCCCGAAGTCAGCTAAATGGCTAATGATATCTATCAAAACGCCTGTCATTTGAAATAAATAAATAAATCACTACGGGTGAGGGAACAGTTGGATTGTTGAGTAACCACCTCGTCAAGTGTTGGCCACCTTTTCTCAAGCGATTGGCAACAGACTGCGCTGGACACTGGTCGTTTGGAGAAAAGTGGTAGAAGTCAACAACGACGTGACGATAGTCATAATAAGCGAACCCATCACTTTACAGTGCATTTGCAGTGTCTCAAGCCCTCATAGCACATTGAAGTGCAATTATTTAATCATAATTTGCTCTCTAATTAAAGCGCGAACCAAAACATGAAGGAATTGATTAATGAAGCGATTACATGGAGGTGAAGAGGTTTCATTTCACCTCTGAGAAAGTCGATATATGAATCAGAGGTAAAAAAAGTCAAACCTTTGGCTATCTCATGCCTGAGCACTAATACGGACTAATCATTTCAAACATCACGAAATCGAAAAGGCAATTGACGAGTTAAGTGCAAAAAAATCGAGATCACAGCTCATCTTGAGAATGGCAATCGAAAAATCAAAAGACACATCTCTAAGATCTCTTTCCCTCTATTCAACCACGGGCCACACAATCAAAGAGGGATAAGATAAGTACCATTAATGGACAAAAATTAACAAAAAATAACGGAAAGAATTAAGGGTTAAATCCTATTTTCGAAAAATATTTAAATAAAAATAGAGAGAGACAACGAACCCTATTGAGCTTTTTCACTTCTATCGTATAGGTTTCCTTTAAACGCGTTTCCGATTCTTTAAATTGTCTGACTTTTCTCGAAAGATCGTCCTTCACCTCAGCCAATAGTTGGTTCTCGCTAAGAAGATGTTCAATTCGATCAAAAAGACCATTCTCTATCTCATCTCTCTTCTCTAGATCCTTCAAATGGGCCGCTTTCTCCTCCTCATACTGTTTCGAAATAAGACGCAGCTTGTTCTCAGACAGAGCGAGTTCTTGCTTGCAGGAGGTGAGATCAGATGACAAGGAGTCACAATTGGATTTGAGGGATTTCAGCATCTCTTGGGCGGCAGAGTAGCGACGCTGCAGACTCGTGTTATTATTCTTGATGGGTGATGACAGGGGATCCAAAAGGGCACTGAAATTTAGAAGAAGGGACGAATTCTCCTTATCGTCATAAAGATTAGAGGTATTCATTTTGCTACGTAATTCAGTTAAGTCCGCTTCCAAAATAGCTATTTGTGATTCAGCAGAAGATAACTTTTGCTGAAGAGTTGCAATTTCTCTAAAAGTTTTCTCGTTAAAAAGAAACTAAGGAATAAATTACGAATTTTTGACATTTTCAAGTCGGGAGGATTCCCATTCCACTGTTTCGCATCGATTTTCCACTCTTCTTTGTGAAGATTGTAGTTCTTCGAACTCACAAAAGAGCAAATCATACTTCTTCCGCCATTCTAATTAAATTGGTAAAAATGAATTTTAGTATTATCTTACCAACTTCACTGGATTCAAGCTTTTCACTCCATTCCTCATTATCCTTTTTAAGGCTGTCATTTTCTTGCTTCAGCGATGATATTACTTCTGAAGCATTGCTTAACTGATTTCGTAAATTTTCGATATTTTTTTCAGCCTGGTACATACGCTGAATTTAAAAGTAAATACATAAAAACAGCACTCACTAGTCCCATATTGTTAACTTGGCCTCTATTAAAAACTTCCTCATATTTATGGCATAAAAGTCGTAAGTTAAAATTATCAATTCTCAGTCTTGAGAGACTTTCTGAGTCATCAGAAATAAATTTGACATTTCTAAACGAATCATCCAACATTTCGGTGCGTATTGGATTCGCCAAAAATGAGACACTAGTGATATTAAATAATAAGAAAGCTAACCTTTCATCGAGGTTTTTAGAATCCCCTTCAGCCATTTTACTACGGTTAAATATTCATATACACCTACGAGAAAAAAATTAACTTAAAAATCAATATTCTTTTATGAACACAATTTAAAGGACATCGATTCTATAAACGACTAGAAAAATTTGGGGACAGAAAATTATTTGCAACCGCAAAGCAATAATCACCTGTACCTTTAACCTTTAAACTAAAATAGCGCGCCTTATACATTGTATTGTAATTCGCTTCATATAAACTTGAGTGAATTATTCCAATATACATTTTCCTTTTAATTGTGTTGTTAATTAAAATAACTTCTATAATTGATAAACTAATCTTATTAATTAAAGCGTTATATTTACATTTTTGTGGTGTCTTTTTGTCCTTTTTGCATTTTATTGGTTTGAGATTCGTATAAAATATGAAACCTTACTTCTAAGATTACATAGGTTGCATTCCATGTCTTAAGCATAACGTTACGTATTAGTAATCAGCCCTTTGTTGAATCTGATTCAAGTACATGTAAATCTGCAATTAAAAACATATTTTTTTATTATTTGATTAAAAAATGGCAATTGTGATATTTTTTAACTTCCTAAGTTTATTTAAAGTATGAAGGAAATTTATCTTTTGATAATGAGGTCTCATTAAATATATATTCTCTCTCTATTATAATGTCAGATATTTAACTGATATATAGAAAAGTGGAAATACTTTTGAATTATTCTGCATTGCGTCATTCGAAAGCATGCGAGCAAATGAATGTGCAACATTTTTAAATGAGGAATAGTCGAAGTAAATCTGAAAATATAAACAATATGGAAGGATCAAGATGGTATAATCTGATTATATTATTTCAAAAATAACTTGTTATTTTGTGGATTATTCTTTTTCCGCACATTAAGGTTCTTGGAAAATCGATTGGGTCAGTTCAACTAATAGTTTGTATTCAAGTTACGGTTCACATTTTTTTAATTTCTACGCGTATACCTAAAAATGAAACATACCTGAAACATGCCTGATGAATTAACTTTTTTCCTGTGAAATAAAGATTAAGTCACGAAATTGACTGAAATTGTGAGTTAATGCCTATTTCCATTCATTATTCGTCCAATGCTTTATGAAAAATGTTCTTTTAATTACTTAAACGTTTTAATGTATAGCAGCTGAAAGGAATGCACAAAAAATGATTTATTTTCTAAAATTACATTATTTTCAATTCTGCAAGAATATATTAAACACATAAGCCAAATTTCCTCTTTTAATTTCCGGCAAACGGGTCAGTTCTTAGTAAATTCTTAATGTGGTTTGCCCCATCTTCCAGAGATGCCTTCATGCGTTTGGCCAACAGCCTCCTAATCTCTCTATTTGATTCTGACCTCAATTGGGTACGATGCTCGTCGATCAGCATTTCTATTTCATTCACGGTTTCTTGGAATAATGGTGGAATTGTGATCTTTGACATTTCCTCTGTAGTCGTTGTTTGTGGTGCAGTGTCATTAGTAAAGGAGATTGGTTGTTTTTTCGCTTCAGCAACCGTTTTGAGTTGGCCTTTCTTAGGTTTCTTTTTCTTGTTTTTGGACGTGCAGTAATCTGGTTTCTTGTCTCTACCTTTAAAACTTGCCAACCAGTTGGAATCTTCCCAGGAGTTGTATTGAAAATCCGGCCAAGGTTCGTAATACCACTGAAATTGTTGATCATGCTCTGGTAGGGGGTTTAAAAGATGGTATTCGAAAGGATTTATCTGGTTCGTCTGTTGAGGTATTATGGGAAATAATACTGGATCAAATATTTCCGAGTAGTACTTAACGGGTTCAATTTTGTAAGTTTGCTGTTGATTATATCGATTTTTCCAATTTTTACTCCTTTTCCTCACTTCTGATTTTTCAATCTTGGATTTTGTTATAGGTCTTTCGGGGGTTGTTGTTTTTTCGGCAACTTTCTCTGTGAAATTAGTGGGTGAAAGAGTATCCTGTGTTGTCAAGAATGTTGTTGGCTCCACAGTCGTTGTTGAAATAATTTTCCCAGTGGTTACAACACTGGGCTGCATAGTTATCTTCTTTGCAGTCCTAATCACCTTATTTCCTTTAGTCCCCACTTTCATTATCTTCGATCTTCTGCTTCTTCTTCTTCCAATCGATGGTTTATTGGATGTCTTCGGGAGTTTCCTCCTGAGCTGCCGCGGGGATTTCTGTTCAATCAATGTGGATCGTTTATTGCGCGTTGTCAGTCTCGGCTTCATATTATTATTTTGAGTTCGAAGGTAATTCCTATTTTTTGGTGCAGGAGAACAGGAGATGAGTACCACAAAGGCAGCACAAAGGAGCAGCATCAGCAGCAGTCCTTTCATTGTTCGAATTATTGTTTTTTTGCGCAGTCACAACTTTGATCAGTTCATTTCAATATTACACCAGAATAATGCACTCCGAAGAAGAGAGCTTTCTTGTCGATATTTAGGTCAATCGATCAAACCATATGTTAGAGTCCTTTCAATATTCAATATTGAAACATGATTACTTATTTCTTGCACAATTCCTCACTGCATGATTCATCTCCCATGGTTTTAAGAAGCATTAGGATGATTCAACGTCTCTTACTGTATAAATTGTCACTCTGCGGTACCTAGATCTGAAACAGTGAAGCGTTTAAAAAATAGAAGATTGAACGTTTGTACATTGAGAACTCTTAATAAGGGATTTCATTATTTGATTTCTAGGTGTCTTAATTCCTATAGATGCCAGAGTGGTTGAAATGTCATGGGTCAGTGGGTCATTCGCAATTTTTGAATCCCTTTGAGCCACCACTCATGCCAAAGTCGATAAAAAGTTAATATTCCTCTGAAATGACCAAAAAAGGAAGTAAGATTCCAAATCTCACTGACCAATAATCTCTCCACCCTCATATTTCCTAAAAATCACAACCTTTTATAATCAAGCATTCACCCTGCTTGCGTGCAATTATGTACATTAAGTTAATAAATAAGTTGAAATATTTGTGTGGCCTATACAAGGAAGTCCCTTTTGTAGCGCAGTTGGCAAAAGAAAGCAAAATTACAAAAAGGCCCTCCAAAGTCCTTGAAATAAATAAAACCTATTTTGGTAAGATATTTATTTATTTATTCATTTATATCAAATGGCAGGCATTTTGATAGTTATCATTAGCCCTTGAGCTGACTTCGGGGCTTCACAGAGAGGAGGAGGAACAACAAAGTGACAGAAAGTCGAGAGGATGGACAGAATAATGATTCACAGAGGTAAAAGAGACAGGCAGACACAGAGGCATAAAAAGGGTGAGGTGAGTACTGTAGAAGAGACGAATATGACAAATAGTCAGGCCATAGTAGTTTGAAGTCAGAAGTCAACTGCCGGTTTGATAGACTTTTTTGTCGCATAAGTATACGTTGCCCAGGGTGGACCACGTGGAGGTAAGATGTAAGAAACGGAGGAAAGTGGTGCATTTCGGAA